CCCCGGAGCGGGGCTGCACGAAGTTGCCTGTTCTTGGGGGGAAAATACGGGTTTTTGTGTGTTTCGCTAGTGAGAAGATTCGCCTCCCCCCCCTTTTTTTCAGATGAAAATGTGCCTTTTAAAGAACGAGAGAACAATATTTGAAATTATGCCCCAATAAAGGTTTTTTTTTTTTTTTTTTTTAAGAGTCTAAAGACATCCTTTACCATCTCCACAGATGACCAGTGGGTGCATTAAGGTGGTATCAAGATGGTGCTAACCGGCAATCCGGTCTCCTTTGAACCTGCACAAAACCATCCCAGCACTTAGGCCATTGGCTGGCTTCACAAAATCCGCTCCTTCCCGCAGGAATTCCCCTATTTTACCACATGGTTTCTGCCACCAGCGCAGAGACACGGTCTGCACAACATGGGGCCGCTAGAAGAGGCAGCCACCAGCCAAGCGTCCCATGTTTCTTTTAACCGGTATGGGGAAAAATAAAAGGCGAGAAGGACAGTGATCCACAGCCCGCATGTGTTCACTTAAAAAACATGCCTGATTTCAGACCATGCTTTCCTACGCAGACACAACAAGGACAGATGTGCACAGATAAGCCCCTTTGCAGCAATTCAATTTATCTGTAGTTCACTAATTTCCTCGTTAATTAACAATCATCTGCTTACCCCAGGGGTTGCTTGTGGTCCTCCTTTCTAGCCAAGCTGGAGATTAACTTGCCCGTGCTTCTGCAGCTTCAAGTACAAGCCACACGGATTCATATTTTTCATTTTGGTGGGAGGAAAGTGTTAGATTTGTGGTACAGACGGCCTTTCTGAATGGACTTGGGCATTCAAACAAATTCAGGTCTGTGCAGGTCAAATAAAAACAAACGTTTCAAAACCTAATTCATCCCAAAGATGCCCTGGATATAGAAGTCGCTGGGAACATATCTGCAAACTCTTTAGAAAAGGATTGTTTATGCAAAAGAGGAACCTGAACAATTGCTAAAAACCTGAAACAATTGATTCATTTTCCTGCAATGCAGGTCTGGAATCCATCAGTTGCTGCAAATTCAGCTTTATATGGAAATTCTTCCATAAAAATCCCCAATTTCTAGCACCACTCAGTGTGAACAAAGAATAAACAATATAATTCCCTCTGTATTATGGTTTCCTTCAAGCCCTGGCTGCTCCTTTTGTTTCCTTAGGGAGCTAAACTTTCGAAAGGCAAAGATGCAGTTTCAGTTGTCACCACCATTAATTATTTCAGGGCTGATCACCTAAGCATTCAATCAACATGTTTATCTCACCAATGCAAACTGCCTACAAAACACACCATAGGTGCCAAGGCTCCCTTCACCATTTCTCTTAACACGTTTAAATAAGTTTGGCATTTTCAGTATAACCTTCTGCAGCGCAGTAACAATTAAAATGTGCATCATTAAGGAACAGATTGGATTTCATCTCAAATTGCCAACTTAGAATAGCACAGTATCTGAGCAAACGATATTTTTGGTATCCTGATGAAGTAAAAAGACTTTATAACCCTTCCGCAGCTGCGGCGCAGCCTCAGGCTCGGCTTTTAGTGCCGGGTTAGAAGGCACCTGCCAACGATGGGGGCAAATCTGCGTGTCTAGACTGGAATTTCGGTTGCGCCGGGTACCGCGAGGCCTCTCCCTCCACTGCTAAGCTTATTTTAATAGCCGAGATCCTTTGATTAATGTTCAGCTCTCCAAGCACTTAGGAATTGCAGCAGGAGCGGATCAGGCTTCAGGCCCATCCGTCACATCCCGCCGGTGCCCGTCTCGCCTGCGAGATGCCAGATGGGCAGCAGGTCATTCCGGCGAGCGCAGCGGCCCCCGCTCCGCGGCAGAGCCGCTCGGCAGCTGTTTTCACTTCCCCTGCACTCCTTAGCCGGTGCCTTATATACACTGACAGCGCATAGATCGCGCTCGCTGCAATTCGTCAGGTATTTCAGCATATGCCACCCCTCCAAAAGGGATTTCTTCACTCCTCAACCTTTCTTCCACCCAGACACAAAAGCACTTTAGGCAACTTTGCCCACAGCTGAACATTGTTTTTGCTTTTTCGTATACATTTTTTTTTAAGTGGAACTCGATAGCTGTGAAATGTGGTTTAACACTGCTCCTCGCTGCGTTGGGAATGATGGATTAACTCAGTAACACAAAGAGACGGGGCAGCAACATCGCCTCAGTTTCTACTGCGTGAAAAAGACAGTGGTCTGCAAATGGACAGTATAAAAAAATAAAATAAAGAGTTGAGGAGTATAACTTACAAAGCAAATAACTATTCTGAGGATATCATTACACTGCAACATAACATCCATTTTGGGAAGCGCGGTCTTTGCAATAGCATTTATAACCTTTGTTGGCCAGTGAACATGCAGAGCACAAAGGTTATGTTTACAGCAAAAGCATAGCAAAACTCAAAAAAAACCCCACTATAAAGCAAATGTAGATCCCTGAATCAGAGTTTCAAATAAAGGAAAATGAGGTCGAGCAGAAATATTAAATTACAAAATAAGTACAGTTCTCTTCCAAGAGTGCTTGGAAAGGCTAATGCATTCACAGTGAAATCTCAGCCATACCTTCTCCTAAAACAGTTCCCTCCCTGCTTGAAATCACATTTCCTCTCTGCCCGACTCTTATTTTTTTCCTCTTTCATTAGAGCCAATTTCAAACACAGAAACAGCACACTAGCAGCAAATACATTTTGGAAATTTTTGTTCTAAATAAATAAATAAATAAATAGGGGGTTTCTAGCAAAACTAGGTGTAACCCACCCAGCTCTGCATGGCACTTTCTTACAAAGAGTATTTTTTTTGACTATCCAGTGAATACGCTGCAAATTTCAAGTCGTTCTGTCATTGCAGCTTCTCTGCAAGTGCCTATTTCTTACAAATCGGAAACAAATACCGAAAGCTGCCAGGAAGACATAAAACCATTTCCCATAAACAGATAGCGAAATGATAATACTGAATGAAAACATTCACTACTGCAAATCAGGACATCTCCAGGACTAGCTGATTGACATCAGCTGAAGATGGGCTAGTTGCAAAACCCCAAGAAAACCCAACGGAGCTTTGCTCTGAATGACTGCGTAGCCGGTATGTGTCTCTCTGCAACTCGTTCTGCTTTGCAAGCTCGGCAGTGATTTATCCTGACAGCCGACTGCAGAAGGCCAAACACCACGACAATACCTTGACCTTAAAATGCTGCAACTTGTTAAATAGGGAAAACTGGCAGGAAGAACGTAAGTCAAGTTAAACTTTCCCAACATGTTCTTCAATTTTTTATGAGGGTTCCAACTAGTCTGCTATTCGGTTATGAAAGGGTTTCCATAGGAACTGTCATGCAACATGACTTTCTGCTGTAAACACTGTTAAAGTGTCACACTAACTTGTACACGTTCGTTCTGTTTTCATGGGAATCCACTCCCTGTTATCCAGGTTTTCTGGCCGAGGTAACGCATTTTGCCTCGTTTATAGCGATTTCCTCAATTAAGCTGCAGTTGAAATAAACACACTTAGAGAGGTTAATATTATTTTGCAGGATTACATCACACTGTTTAATTACTTAACCTTTCCTCTCTCCAAATGGCTTATGATTTGAACACACACTCTACACTGTGCCCACAGAATTGATACTGGAACCAAGGTTGGAAAGATTGGAAGGCTGGAAAACCAAAAATAAATACACCCAGCCCATTTCACAGCTCCCCGTTTCCTGCTGTTCCCAATGCCAAGCCATCTCAGCGTGCCTG